CCTCCTCCTCCTCCGCCAACGCCTCATCCGCCCCCGTCTCCTCCTCTTCCTCCTCCTCCTCCTCTTCCCCTTTTCCTGCTCCCACATCCCCCTCCTCCCCCTGCTCCTCCTCCTCCCCCTCCTCCTCAATTACTCCCATGTGTGAATAGTTCCTCCCTGTCGCACCCCGAAGCCCGTCGGAAGGGCGGGCTGGGCCGTTCGCCTGAGACTCTCTTACCAGTTATTAACCTGAAGCGAAAAAAATACAACAGCCGCTTCACAGTTGGAGGGCGGATGGTGTTCACAATGTGGCTCTCGCCTCAGCGCCGCGCACACTCGTCTTCATAAGTTGCAAGAGTGTCACGAAACTGGGGCGGGTGATGCTCAAAATGTGGCGCATGCCTTAGCGCCGCGCACACTCCTTTTTGCAAAACTTGCTGGAGCTGCGCGGATTGGGGGCTGGCGGTATTCAATCATGTGGCTCTCGCCTTAGCGCCGCGCACGTTCGTGTTGAAAGGTTGCAAGAGCTTCACGGGTTGAGGGCGGCTGGGGTTCGTTATGTGGCTCTCGCCTCAGCGCCGCGCACAGTCGTTACCAGACACTTCAAGGGCGTCACGAATTCGCATGGTGAACGTACAAGAAATAGCGTGCGGGAACGATTCCAGATTGCCAGGGCGCAACAGCTACGTTGATTCGTGGTGTTGCAATCCAAGGGACGGTGCTCTGACACAGTTCGGGATCGTCAAGGCGCAACAGTCGATTTGACTGGTGGCGTCAAAGTCCAGCCTAGAAGTCAGGGCGCTTCAGAAATCTCACATGGTTGTCCCCCATCGGTGCCACTCCCTCACTGGAAAAGAACCCTTACAGTGGCCTGAGACGCAGGAGCTTGAGGAAGGGTGTCTCCCAGCATCGTTGATGCGTATTGGGTTCTTATGTGTCCTCCTCCTCCTCCTCATCCTCCTTCTACTGCTTCTCCTCCTCCTCCTCCACCTCCTCCTCCTCCTCCTCCTGATCCTCCTCCTCCTCCTCGTCCTCATCCTCCTCGTCCTCGTCTTCCTCTTCCTCCTCCTCCTACTCCTCTACATCCTCCGCCTCCTCCTCCTCCTCCTCCTCCCTCCTCCGCTTCCTCCTCTTCCGCCTCCTCCTACTCCTCTTGTTACTCCTCCTCCTCCTTCCCCCTCCTCCTCCTCCTTCTCCTCCTCTTCCTCCTCCGCCTCCTCCTCATCCTCCTCCTGCTACTCTTCCTCTTCTTCCTCCTCTTCCTCCTCCTCCTCCCTCTTCTCCTCACCGCCCTCCTCCTCCTCCTCCTTATCCCCCTCATCTGTATCACTGTTCAGGTCCAAGCCCCCATGTTACTCATCATCATAACGCTCTTCCTCCTCCTCCTCCTCCTCCCTCCCTCCCTCCCTCCCTCCCTTTTCCCTCCCTCCCTCCCTCCCTCCTTTCCCGCCTCCCTCCCTCCTCTACGCATCACCGCTACCACTACCACCACAAGCACCATTTCTACCACTGTCTCCACCACTGCCACTACCACTGCTTACCATGACTAAGCAAGAGGCATACCATTAGACCAAGCAGTCAGCTAACCAGGCAGCCGTCCACTATCTACCACTACTCTCCACCCATGGCTACCAGCATGATTTCCACTGCCACGGTCACGACCACTGTCATGATCACTTTCTCTCCCTCTGCCAACACTACTTAAAACATGGGGTCCACGGGGAGTGCTCTACTAAAACGTTCCATTTCTATCCGCCATAAGTATCGGAAGATGGAGGGCGTGAAACTGACAAGACAAAAAGAAAAGGTGATTCGGGCTGTTCTGGATCCTCTGGAAGTTCTGGTCGGCTCCCGCTGACTCTAGCCGTCGCTGGCACGTTTGACCAGCCCGAATACCAAAGAACGACGCTTCAAGGTGACATTTCCGCGCCCTCAATTCGAAAACGACAAAACTCATTGTGAAAACGACCAATTGCAATACCCCAAGCAGACCTCTAAACATCAAACAAAAACAACGCGGTTTTGAAAAGTGTGCGACTTCTAATCTCAATTCTACCGACTTCCACATACAACACTGGTGTCTCCGATTCCACATTGCGGGATTGCTGCGTCAGACCCGGGTTAGGCTTCGCACCCCTGGAGAAACACAAGAGGGGCACAACAGCCATTGTTCGGCAACGCATTCCAGATTTACAAACAGCTTCACATGCGCGAATACGAATCACAAAGCACCCAACTTTCCTCAAGCATTTCTTGCTGACCAACGGCCACGACAAGAACCTCGGCCTCAATTTGACCGTTCCTTCTGTTTGCATACTGCCAGCTTAATTCTGCCACTACCATGATGCGCACGACTATACCGTATAGTAATCACAGCTTGAGACTGCCAGTACCATGATGCATACGACAACCAACAAAGGCGTTATAGCTACTCTCCTTACCATTGCTACATAATGCCCCTCCCATGGGCGGTAGAGTAGATGGGGGACGGAATGGGCGCAGCTTCCGGTTTGCGATGTGTGCCCAACTGGCTCCGCAATACCTCTATATCTACACACACGTATCACCCTGCAGCTATCTCGGTACAGGACGAACAAGCACACAGATGATGGGCAACGCCAAGGCACACATACTTGTACACATGCATGAAGGCATGCATGAGATGATACGAGCAGCAGCGAATCGCAAACTCACTACAAGAAGAACACGTAAACATGAAAGACAAATAATGATGTTCAATGTCTGCCACGAGAAAAGAACTGCACTGCAGCCGCAAAACCGAACCGCCAGTGCACGACTCATGACGCAGATCACAAAAAATATCCTGGCGAGGGACCCAACCACATGCAGTTGTGAGTACCGTCGTTGCGGGTATCGCCTTCGGGGGATCTCCTCATGGGACCATGAAGCATGCGTAGAGTGTGCCGATGTGGGGCGGGGCCGCCGTGTGGGCGCCGCCAGTGGAGCTTTACGCGGAACCCACTAGGGGGCCGCGAAACGTGTGAAGGGTGCCGCGCAATGCGGTGGAGCCGCGACTGGGGCCGTCGGCGGAGCTCCCTACGGGACCACGAAACGCTGTACTGGGTGGGGCCACAGCATTCGGACACCGCCACTGGGGCCTTCAGTGGAGCTCCCTCTATGCGGCCACGAAGCGCTGTACTGGGCGGGGGAGCCGCGTGCGAGGGCGGCCACTAAGGCCTGCGGTGGAACTCCCCGTGGGGCCACGAAACGCTGTACTGGGTGGGAGAACCGCAGCCCCGTGCGGTCGTCTCTCGAAGCGTGCCGCCGAGAATTTGTCAGAAAAAAAACGGGGAAGCAGAGCAGAGGAGGGCGCGGACAAGGAAAAGATACCCCTGCAAACGCCGAAGTAGCCTCTCAAGGCGGGGGGGGGCCTGACGCTTGCTACTCCCAGGCCCCTGGACGCCCATGGCTCCTATCTGCCTCATCCACAAGGCGGCGGACGGTGTCGCGCCAAAGGTCATCCCAAATCATAAATGGCATCGAACACACGGGCAAGTGAGCAAATCCACCGGCCCCCTTGTGTGGCCACCAGGCTGTAGGGCGAAGGTTCGCATTTTCCTGTACCACCTGCAGCTTCCAGTTTCCACTGTTACAGTTCTGCGTCTTGCTGCTTACTGTTCCTTGTTGACTTCTTGCTGCCTACTGTTCCTTGTTGATGGACCGCGCGAGGGGGGAGGCCCAAAACGGGCATTTTTACCACGCCCAAATCGTATGCTCTGAATTGCTGGGGTGGGTAAAAATTACCACCCCTCACGCAGATCGGCAGGGTCAGGGTCCAAAAACAAAAGGGATTTGCCAAATTTCGAAAAATTCGGTGGCACCCCTCACGCAGATCGGCGAAAAACACATGGGATGTGCCACATTTCTGAATTTCGGCGGCACCCCTCACGCAGATCGGCGGGGTCAGGGCTTAAAAACACAACGAAATTGCCACATGTCTATAATTTGCTAGCACCCCTGACACAGATCGGCGGGGTCAGGGTCCAAAAACAAAAGGGATTTGCCAAATTTCTGAAATCCGGTTGCACCCCTCACGCAGATCGGCGAAAAACACAAGGGATTTGCCACATTTCTGAATTTCGGCGGCACCCCTCACGCAGATCGGCGGGGTCAGGGCTTAAAAACACAACGAAATTGCCACATTTCTAGAATTTGCTAGCACCCCTCACACAGATCGGCGGGGTCAGGGCCCAAAAACATAAGGGATTTGCCACATTTCTGATATTCGCTGGCACCCCTCACGCAGATCAGCGGGGTCAGGGTGCACAAACACAAGGAATGTGCCACATTCCTAAAATTCGCTGGCACCCCTCAAACAGATCGGCGGGGTCAGGGTTTGAAAACATATGGGATTTGAAATTCGGTGGCACCCCTCACGCGGATCGGCAGGGTCAGGGTCCAAAAATACAGGGGATTTGCCACATCTCTGAAATTCGGCGGCACCCCTCACCAGATCGGCGGGGTCAGGGTGCAAAAACATAAAGGATTTGCAACGTTTCTGAAATTCGCTGGCACCCCTCATGCAGATCGGCGGGGTCAGGGTACAAAAACACGCAGGATGTGCCACATTTCTGAAACCCGGTGGCACCCCTCACGCAGATCGGCAGGGTCAGGGTCCAAAAACACAAGGGATTTGCCACATTTCTGGATTTCGGCGGCACCCCTCACGCAGATCGGCAGGGTCAGGGTCCAAAAACTCAGGGGATTTGCAACATTTCTGAATTTCGGCGGCACCCCTCAAGCAGATCCGCAGGGTCAGGGTCCAAAAAACACAAGGGATTTGCCACATTTCTGATTCGGCGGCACCCCTCACACAGATCCGTAGGGTCAGGGTCGAAAAACAAACAGGTCCGGACACTGCTTCACGGCGGCGCCCAGACCTCATGATTTAGCTTTTGCATCTCCCATTATCCGAGACAGGGGGCCTGGCGGCATGGGGCGAAGTCCTTACGGATCATCCGATCAACCATGCACGTGCCGCTGGCCGCTGGGGCACCGACGTGCCACTTCCATTTGGGGTCCTTGTAGATCCTCGCGTCGGCAGTGGTGTGCTTGAGACGACCACGACACTGAAAATGACGAGACGTGCTGCTCACTCATCGCATCCACCAACCCGAATTGTTACGCGACCCTTCCTCCTGCTCGCCCACCCTATCATGAGCCACATCCTCCGTTCCTCCGGTGTCACCATGCGCTGACTCTATCATTCTCTTCACCCTTTCGCTTGTGTCCCCGTTCCCCCTCCCATCGTCGTCGTCACTGGCATATTCGTGCTCTTCTTCGTCGTCGGCAGTATCGCTACCGTCGTCACAAATTTCACTGGTCGAGCCCAATGTGACTAAAGCCACGCGCTAGGTAGCTCACTGAGCGCATCCCCGGCACTCCCGACGGAAGACAGTACAACAATCCCTACGGAGACAGAACAGCACTCTGTGCAGGAGAGCAGTGCAACTCCATACTGGAGGCCCTGCTATACTCTCTGCCGAAAGACGTGCGATACCCCTCTGCGGGAAGCCCAGCAATACTCCCTACAGGAGGCGATGCAAGACACCCTGCGGGAAACAAAACAATTCTCCTTACTGGAGGAAATGCAATACTCCGGAGGGAAGTAAAGAAGTACTCGCTGCGGTACACAATGCAATACTCCCTGCAGAACCACTGCACAACTCCCCGCTCGGTCAGGCAATGCACCATACATCTGGGGCCAGCGCCATGCCTAGCCCCAATACTGCCACTGGTCGTTACGTCACCCAGAACCGAGCGAAGAAGAACTCGGGCCGCCTATCCACGAATTTGGAAGGGGCGAGAAAGCATGCGCTGAGCAATGCGCCACCTCGAGCGGAGACACTGGACGCGGATGCCATGGTGGCCGCGTCGACGAAGCGCGAGTGTGTGCACCAGGCCACGAGCGAGTCAGAGTGAGGGGTGCTGGCCCCGGGTCCCACCATCGTGGAAAACTTCTGGGAGCGGCCGCGCTGATTCAGCCAGAGCTGCGGAAGGGCAACGGCGACGACAGCTTCGACGGGAGCGCCCAGAGGCCCAGCGTGAAAGAGCCAGACGTCGCGGCGACGGGGCAGGCTGTGAAGACATCTGGCGACCCCCCGGCGGCGACGAGGTGACGCTGGGCATTGATGTAGCGCTGAGCGATGCAGCGCTGAGCGCGGCGAGGAGGAGCGAGCGTGGGGCGGTCGACCTCGCTGCGCCTGCCTGCGGTCCACCAGGGCTTCGAAGCTCTATAGGGAAGGCGTCGGCCGCCTGCCGCCACAGCGGAGACCACCGGCGTGAAGTGCCAGCCCTTCGGGCAGAACCCGCTGGAGCAAAGAGGAGAAGGAGCCGCAGCAGCAGCAAGCAGGAGGCTCCGGAGAAGGGGCACGAGGAGGAGCAGGTGAGGCCGAGGAGGAGCAGGAGCAGGAGCCGCAGAGGAGGAGCAAGCAGGAGCAAGCAGGAGGTGGAGCAGCAGAGGATGTTCAAGACGACGAGCACCAGTTGCTGCACGCAAACATCGGGTACATGTATGCACATATGTGTGGAAAGAGAGAGAGAGAGAGAGAGGGATAAGGAACAAACAAAAAAACAAACCCAAAAAATGAGAGAGAGAGAGAGAGACCGACCGACCGACCGACCGACCGACCGACCGACCGACCGACCGACCGACCGACCGACCGACCGACAGACAGACAGACAGACAGACAGACAGACAGACAGACAGACAGACAGACAGACAGACAGACAGACAGACAGACAGACAGGCAGGCAGACGGACAGACAGACAGACAGAGTGATTGACAGACAAACAGAACGACAGACAGACAGACTGACTGACAGACAAACAGACAGACAGACCGACAGACAGACAGACAGACAGCCAGACTGACTGACTGACTGACTGACTGACTGACACACACACAGGCAGGCAGACTGACAGGCACACAGACAGACTGGCAGACAGGCAAACAAGCAGACAGACAGACAGACTGATATATGTGCGCGCAGCAGTCGGGACCTCCTCGGGTTCCCTGACCTGGGCCAGAGTACAAGTGAGCACAAACTGTGTGGCATTGCCGCTGTTGGCCAGTTCCGCAGACCCATGGGCGGCGGAAGCACGACTAATCAGGACGCCCTGTTACGAGGGGGGGCGGGGAGGAGAAGGAGGAAAAGGAGGAGGAGAAGGAGGGAAAACTAGGCAGTTGTGAAACGAAGACTGCTCCGACGGTGGGCGGAGAATCCCTGGGCAACGCGGCGCGATCACAGCGCCATGCGCGCGAGCGCATAAATTCCGGCACTCGCAGGAGGGGTAGGAGGAGAGGAAGGAAAAGGAGGAGGAGGAGGAGGAGGCGGCCCACGACGAGAAGAGGAAGAGGAGGAGGGGGAAAACAGAGCAACTGTTAAAAGAAGATTGCCCCGAGAATGGGTTGGGATCCCCTGGGCACCACGAACATAGCGCCAAGCGCGCGAACGCGTGAACCCCAGCACTCGCAGGAGGAGGGGGGGACTCGAAGGGATGCATCTGACGGCAGCACCAGTTCCGGGTGCTCAGAACACCTGCACGCGGCCCGTGGGCCCAGGAGAAAGAAGGGAGGGCGGCAAGCAGGCAGGCAAGCAAGAAACCAAGCAGGAGGCGGGGCGGAACAAGGGGGCACGGCCGCGGGGCGTGAGCCACCTGACTCCGCAGCTAAGCGCGCGCGCGAGGCGGACGGGGGGGGAAGCGCTAATGCAGGTGGCGGGGGGTGGCGCGGCCAGGGCCCGGGAGCAGGCGGGACCGCCCTAACTCGTCTGCGCCCGGATCCGGCCAGCGAGCCCCGTCGTGGGCAGCCGCCCGCCGCCACAGTGCTACGCCGGCCGCGCCAGCCAGGCGGCGGCACCGCCACGCCAGGTCCGAGCATCCCTTCCGCCAGGGAAGGCGGGTCGCGAGCGTGCGGAGGATGGCTGTCGCCCAGGGGTGGGGTCGGCCGCTTGCTGACCAGGCCAGGGGCTGGTACATAATATTCTGACGGTCCAAAACATGGCCGCGTGTGGCGTAGTAGACAAGTTTGCGCTCGTACATGCTGGCCACGCAGTCTGGGCCAGGAGAGGTAATCCCGATGTCGAGTGCCGCAAGCCCGTGCCCCGGCGCCCCCGTCAGCCCGTCCGCAAGCCTCAGTCGGATGCCCAGGATGAGATTCTGCGCCTCGAGCTCGGTGGCGGGGCCGCAGCTCTTGACAGCCTCGTACACCTGCCGTGCAAGCGCGTGGTGGCCCTTCATAGCCTCGGCCCTGCTGCAACAGAGGGCGCGCGAGCCAGCGAAGTCGAGCAGCGCGGTGCCGCAGAGGTTGCAGGGGGCGGGGCTCGCTGGGGCCAGCGCGGCCGAGGAGTAGTCGGGGCGTTTCGACGAAGTCCTGGTGGTCGAGGAGAGGCCACTTGCGCCGGCTCAGAGGTCAGAGCCACTCGTGGTTGGTGTTGGTGTGGCTGAAGTCCTCCAAGCGGCGCAGCGCTGGGTCGTTGCTGGCTTGCGCGTGGCGCTCGCGCGGCTCCAGGCGCGCCCGTGTATCGAAACGGACCAGGATGGCCCTCTGGAGGTCGGCGCGGCCGCGGGGCGCAGCAGCAGGGTGTTCGTCGTCCTCGTCCTCGCCGGTGAGCGAAAAGGCGCCGAAAACGACAGAGGCGCCGAAAACAAAAGAAACTCCAAAGACGGACAGGGCGCCGAAAACAAAAAGGGCGCCGAGAACAAAAGAGGCGCTAGAACCGCAGGAACGCCTCAAACCAAAGGGGCGCCGAAAAACCCAAGACGCGCCGATAACCAAAAGGGCGTCGAAAACCAAAGAGCGCAAAAAACGAAAGACGCGCAGATAGCCGAAGGGCGCCCAAAACCACAAGGCGCCGAAAACCAAAGAGCGCCGAAAACCAAAACGGGGCCGAAAACTGAAGAGGCGCCGAAAAACCAAAAGGGCGCCAAAAATCGAGAGGGCGTCGAAAACGAAAGGGGTGCCGGAAACCAAAAGGGAGCCGAAAACCAACGATGCGCCGAAAACCAACATGGGCGCGCAGAAAAGCGAAAAAGGACCACGTCGAAAGCCAAAGGAGCGCCGAAAACCACAGGAGCCCCGAAATCCAAGGAAGCGCCAAAGGCCCACAGAGCGCCGAAACCAAAATGGCGCCGAAAACCAAAGAGACTTCGAAAACCACAAGTACGTCGCAAACCAACCCAAAGAAGAAAATTAACTTCGAACCCCCCCTTCAGCCAGGGCCCTCCAGCTGGAAAAACCCACAGCAGGAGGGGAGGGGGGGCATCTTCGGAGCCCCCTTCTTTGGAAAGGGGAGCCCGGGCTCATCCCGAGGCCCGAAAGGGAGGGAGGCGGGGTAGCTTCCAAGCTCTTCCCTCCTTTAGCCAGGGACCCCCCAGCTACAAAGTCCAAACAAAACGAAGGGGGGGGGAGCTTCGGAAGCCCCCCCTCCTTTGAAAGGGGAGCCCGGGCTGTCCATGGGCCCCAGAAAAGGGGGAAAGGGGGGGGGCAGCTTTCAAGCCCCTCCCCCCTTTAGCTAGGGGTTCCCCCAGGGGGCAGCTTCGGAAGCCACCCCCCTCCTTTTCCAAGGGAGGGGGGGGGGGGGCAGCTTGAGGCTGGGGCCCCCTTTTAGTAAGAAGTGCGCCACAAACGCACTCTTTCGCACATCATCTAACAAGAGAGGGGGGGGATAATGAGAGAGAGGGAGAGAGAGAGAGAGAGAGAGAAAAAAAGATAGAGAGAGAGAGAGACAGAGAGAGAGAGAGCCGTTTATGGGTCCTGTGCTTGGATGCAGGGTCGATGTGAGAGTCTAGTGTTTGGACCCCATGTGTGTAGGTCCCTTGTGTGGTTCCTGTGTGGGTTCAATGCGTGGGCCCTGTACTAGTCCTGTGTATTGGTCCCAGGAGGCCGCTGGAATAGCGGGCCTACGAACGCGCAGGAATGCTGCAACACCGTCCCTTGCCCTGGTGCGTATACAGACTGAAGCATCAGCATCAGCGTAAGGGCACACGCAACAACACCAGCATTAGCACAAGGGCTGGCATGAGCATGATCACAAGCGTGAGAGCGAGCATTAACATGAGCATGACTTGGTAATCGATATGAGCATAAGTACGAGCAGAAGCATGAGCAGGAAAACCTGGAAATCTGTGCGATTGAGCGAATTTCCGACCCTATGCGGGGATAAGGTAAGCACCGTAATGCGAGGCTCGCCATCCCCCTCCTCTTCCACCTTTTTCCATCCTCCTCATCCTCTCCTCTCTCCTCGCCCTCCTTCTTCCCCTCTCTCTTTCTCTCTGTCTCTGCGCCCCTTCCCCGTCCTCATGCTGCTCCTCCTTCTCCTCATGCTGGCTGCAAGTACCCTTGCCATCATCATCAACAACATCGTCAGTGCGTTCAGCCTCGTCACCATGGTGGTCTGCATCCCTGTCTCATGGGATTGAGAAGGGGCCGGGCTCCCGTGAAGAATCTGCTTCAGCCGCCACGGAGGCTCGCCCCTCGAGCTCAGGAACTGCGACAGCGCCTGGCAGCGAGGACTCACTGAGACCTTGGACTGCCCACCGATCCAGACGTCCAAGACCTGACCCTGATCCTGATCCTGATCCTGACGCTGCCAGCCCTGCCCAGCGCGCCGATCGAGAACCCGACGGGCTGCCACGCCTCCCCCCTCCATCCTCCATCCTCCATGCGCCCAACCTGCCCCTCCTTCTCCGCCTCCCCCTCCCGGCCTACCCATACATCAGCCTCCCGCTCCCACTCCCCCTTCGCCTTCCCCCCTGCCCCTCCCCCTCCTTGTCCCCCTCCTCCCCATGGATCACAAGTCGTTTTCGACAGTGGGCCCTTCGTCTTACAAGTCTGCAGCATCAGCAGAATTCTTAAAAGTTTCGTTTTCAAAGTGTGCAGCCGAGATATGATGAAGCATCAGTCGTTTCTTACCTGGGGCCCTCGCCTCAGCACCGCGCACATTCGTCTTAAAAACTTACAACCAAGAACAGGGGAAGGACATCTCCTTTTTAATATGAGACTCTCTCTTAAGACTTCCTTGGACGGGAAAACCTGATACTTGAGCAGATGAAACAGATGCAAAGATGGGTGAAGGTTTTTTTCATGATGGGGCATTCGCTTGAGACTTCCTAGACATGCATGACAGGAACTGTAGGCCCGTGCAGCAACTACATGGATTGGGCCGGTCATGTTTCAGAAGGGAGACCTCGCTGGACACATCGATGAGCTGTATGATCATACATGCTCGCATTCCTTTCGCTAAAAGAACGCAAGGCAGCCCATGCTCGAAACCGGGCCTGCCATAGGGTACGAGTCTTTCAAGGAGCGCATCCTGTAGTGAAAAGCACTGCATGTGCGGACTTATGAGGAGGAGACTTGGGACGGGAGGGTGCATTGCAGCATGGTTTGTCGTCTTGGGCTTGCTCTAATCCTCCCTCCTCTCCTCATCCTCCTCATCCTCCTCCTCCTCATCATCACCATCACCTTCACCATCAATATCACCATCACCATCACCATCGTCGTCGTCATCAGCATCATCATCAGCATCATCAGTATCACCATCACCATCATCATCAGCAGCAACATCATCGTCATCACCGCCAGAGGCAACATCAGTATCATCCTCATTCGCATCATCGTCCTCTTCATCATCTTCCTCATCATCATCGTCATGAACAACATCAACAACAGCATCAACCTCAACATCAACAACACCATCATCATCCTTCCTCACTCCTCTGTCCTTCTTACGCTTCCCCCTCCGCCAATCCCCCTCCCCCCTTGCCGATACCAGCTCGTCCATTTCCCCTTCCCCTCCCATGTTGTTCTGCGTCGAGCCCTCGGCATCAGTTCATCTGCTTCAAGCACGGCGCAGCTAGATTGTGCGCGCCGCGTCTCTTTCCAAGACTTCGCCCGACCTCGCTCTGCATTTCGTCATCACGTCTGCCCCTTCGCCCTTCGTATTGTAAACGACGAGTGCAGCACCGCACATGCCACTTGAGTCCAGGTCCGATTCGAAACCCGACTCTGCACCAGAAAATGGTTCAGCTGTGGCGCGAGCGCGCATAGTCTGCTCTCTCCCTCCTCCTCGTCCGACTGCCTCCAACTCCTCCTTATCCCCCTCATCCTCCCCCTCATGCTCATCCTCATCATCGTGCCCAGGGTGTTGTGCCACGCTCTCGCAACTTGCCGAGAACAGGAGAGGGCAGACTGCTTACTTGTTCGACCGACTCGATAACGAAAGCTGCGTTGTGGCTTACTTGCTACGCGGTGCGTGCAATGAACTATTCGCCAGGGCATTCAAAGCACAGACTGACTGCCCTGGTCACCTTCACCGCAACAACAAGATAGCAGCCCTAAGCTGCTTCAAGACATGCCGCAGCCCCAAGCATGAGATCCGCAGCAAGCCCTTGTTTGATCAACCCCATCCCAATGGATACGTTAACAAGAGGAGCGCCAAATGCATCGAGGGTGCCCAGCTCAGCTCAAGGCAAACAGACAGAGACATGAGTTTGTCAAATGCGCTGGTCATCCTCCTTCTCTTGTCTTGGAAACGCCATGGGGTCGCTCCGCCCGCGGCGTCAACTCCTTTTACGGCAGGCGGGCAAGAGCAACTAGGCTCTAGCGCCCTTTCGCGCCAGCTCCTCCTCCTCCTCCTCTTCTTCCTCCTCGTCCTCCTCCTCATCCTCCTCCTCCTAAGCCCCTTTCTGCTCAGACCTTGGGACCTTGTGGGGCTCCCTAAAAGCAGACCTCACAGGCTAGACCCTTTCGCCCGCTGCCCCCAGCTCCCGCCCACCATGTTGGCATCCCTTCTCCAAGCGATACTGTACAATCCAGTCTCGATTTCGGATGCATGGAGAATACATGAGATGTCCTCTCGCTTGCGCTTCGCTGATGTGGTTCTCTTGCCTGGCACCCAGCAGCGCCGCCGCGCAGGCGACACCCCGACCTTTCAGAAGTTAGAGAAGCACATGATGGTGAACTTCTGGTGGCAGAAGGGCAAGTACACGAACAGTAGTGCGGGCTGTTCGATAATGTTGAGGAATCGCGCCTTCCGCAGGAACCACATTCAACAGGTTATCCAGCCCCCCAAGGAGTTAGCAGGACGAGGAGGCGCGATCAGGCTGAAGGGTCCGACGTTCGACATATTAGTGATTGTGGCCTAGTATCCAGCTGCCTAGAAGGACCAAGTGGATCACTGGACGACTACGTGCGCTAAGCTTTCGGCATGGCTCCATAGAACGATTCAGAGGGCCAAGGCGAGAAGCATGGTGATAGTGGGAGCGGACACCAACTCGGAGTTCGGCAAGGGGAACTGGTGCCAGCGGTACACCGACGACGACGAGGGATGACGTGCATGTGGGACCGCATGCGGCCAGCTATGAGAATGGAGTGAGCGCCGTCTTTGGCGCAGGGTGAGCATGGAGGGGATGGCGGCTACCGACACGTTCTTCGAGGCGGGCCCGACGCATTTTGGTGCTCAGCCGCACATAACCTCGCACCCAGACCACCTGCGGGGGTCTTGCGAGGCAGTGCAGGCCACGCAGGCCTGTGTGTGCTTGCGTCGGGCGATGCGAGACCTTCAAAGAATATCATCGCCTCATCCTCGTGATCATTGTCCGATGTTGTGGAAACTGCGATACAGATTGCAAACGGCGACGCAACCCGAGCCCAACGAAGTTCGATGGGATCGAGACCTCCTCGGAAAAGCGCTGAAGATTCGGTGTGCCCCTGACTTTGTCGCCGAGCTCGAAAGGAGATGCGACACCAGCGCGCCGGTCTGGCGCCATGCTACCCAGACGGACGACCCCTTCCATGGCCTGGGCTCACCTAGTCGACGACATCCGAGAGGCTGCCAAGACCGAGTTTGTGGATGCCGCAGGCTGGGGCCATCCGACGAATATCGAGCTGAGCGAGATCGACTGTTGGAAAAGCGGCGCCTGCCGAGCGTCAACTTCGCTGAGGAAGATAGGCTGAGGCTACGTGCACGCGACCGAGATCAAGAGGGCCAGGCTGAGACTCGACAGCGAAAGAGTTGAGGAGCTTCTTGGCGAGGCCCAGCGAGCGTCAGACCTTGAACAAACTAGCAAAGTTTGGAAGATCGCTTGTCAGATTGGAGCTCGCTACCATGGGGCACGGCGACGCAGATTCAATTTGATCCCGACCTACGCCCCTACCTTGGACGAGCGGCAAGAGACCATGGAATCGAGCGCAGCGGAGGGCGGCTTCTCCGCGACTCGAGCGCCGGGCCCCGGCGTTCCCAGCCGCGAGGCACTTGAGCGCCGCGAGCTAGATGATCCAGACGGCGACTGGAAGCATATGAGAGGACGGCCTGGTTCTGCAGCATATGACGACTAGACCAATACCCTCGAGTGCTTACACAAGGCCGCGGGACGACGATACGCTCCACCGCACTCTGCCCCAGGCGAGGTTTGGCTGATGGCACTACGCGCGGCTACGCGAGAAGCTCGAGGTGGCCCCCCAGAGGATGAGGGCGACGCTAGACGCCGAGTTCGAGTACCATGTCCACGTCTGGCAGAGAGGCTCTTCGGGATTCTGCGGCAGATCCGACATTCCTGCCGCGCCCCTTTTTCAGCGGCATTGGTCGTGCACGTTCCAGCTGAGCAAGGGCAGCGATAAGAGGGGCCCTCATGCCATGAGGTTGACACATTGCCATTGCCCCTTTGGCAAGGCCTGATACCGAAGGGTTTTTGTGAGACACGAGCGGCCCCGACTACTCGACCACGCGCACGGCCACGCAGCGCATAGGTCGAGGAAGAGACCACAGTTGGTGGCTACAAGCTTCACTCTTGGAGATTGCGTAAAAGCTGGTCTTGCACTTGCAGGTGAAAAAAGACATGAGCAATGCCTTCCCATCCACAAATCACGAGATGCTCGCGCAGATCATCGGCGAGATGATCCTTGATATGCAGGACCAGCTCCTTCTCCAGCGAGGGCAGCGTGAGGCCGCGATGGGAACCCGGGCGGGCGAGGAGCGAGGATCCCTTTCGGCCCGCACACGGCGCAGGCACGGGCGACGGCAACGCGTCGAAGATGTCCGTGCGCTCGTTCGCGAAGCCGCTGGAAGCCTGGAACCACACCCCGAGGACGGGCACTCAGGCAGTTCCGGACTCTGGAGGCGGAGGCTCTGTTCCACTCATGGAGGCGGCGACGCTGACTGGCTCGCCCATCCACGATGCTGCCGGCAACCCGCTCCGAGCGGCCCCGAGGAAAAAAAAAACTGCCGCCTCGCATCCTGTCCGATCAGCTAGAGGGGCTAGGAGGCTTCAGCCAGAATGAAGATAAGGAGATGATCCTTCCTGCTCTTGTGGGCCCTGGGGGATACACGGCCACCCGTGCCGTCCTTTCTGGACTCGTGCAGTTTCCTGGACAAGTAAAAGCCGAGACGGTGAATCTTGGAGGCCTCGAACATCTGACGGGAGGAGCAGAAGCAGAAGTTCGGCTTCGAGTAGACGCTACGCAATCGGCTTGGACCAAACTTGAAAGATTCTGGAAGCAGCACTCGTCCCTGAAACTCAAGCG